CTCTGGCCTGGGTTGGTCTTGGGCCTGGGTTTGTCTTGGGCATGGGTTTGTCTGGGCCTGGAGTGGTCTTGGGCCTAGGTTGGTCTTGGGCCTGGGTTGATCTTGGGCCTAGGTTGGTCTTGGGCCTAGGTTGGTCTTGGGCCTAGGTTGGTCTCGGGCCAGGGTTGGTCTCGGGCATGGGTTTGTCTGGGCCTGGAGTGGTCTTGGGCCTAGGTTGGTCTTGGGCCTGGGTTGGTCTTGGGCCTAGGTTGGTCTCGGGCCAGGGTTGGTCTCGGGCATGGGTTTGTCTGGGCCTGGAGTGGTCTTGGGCCTGGGTTGGTCTTGGGCCTGGGTTGATCTTGGGCCTAGGTTGGTCTTGGGCCTAGGTTGGTCTTGGGCCTAGGTTGGTCTTGGGCCTGGGTTGGTCTCGGGCATGGGTTTGTCTGGGCCTGGAGTGGTCTTGGGCCTGGGTTGGTCTTGGGCCTGGGTTGGTCTTGGGCCTAGGTTGGTCTTGGGCCTAGGTTGGTCTCGGGCATGGGTTTGTCTGGGCCTGGGTTGGTCTTGGGCCTAGGTTGGTCTGGGCCTGGGTTGGTCTTAAGCCTAGGTTGGTCTTGGGCCTGGGTTGGTCTCGGGCATGGGTTTGTCTGGGCCTGGGGTGGTCTTGGGCCTAAGTTGGTCTTGGGCCTAGGTTGGTCTTGGGCCTGGGTTGGTCTCAGGCCTGGGTTGATCTTGGGCCTGGGTTGGTCTTGGGCCTAGGTTGGTCTTGGGCCTGGGTTGGTCTCGGGCATGGGTTTGTCTTGGCCTGGAGTGGTCTTGGGCCAGGGTTGGTCTCGGGCATGGGTTTGTCTGGGCCTGGAGTGGTCTTGGGCCTGGGTTGGTCTCGGGCTTGGGGTGGTCTTGGGCCTTTGCTGGTCTTCGGTCTGCAGTGGTTTGTGGCATAGGTTTGGCAGGAGTGTGGGTTGGTCTAGATCTGGAGCATGGGTTGGTTTAGTGCATGGGTTGGTTAGGTGCATGGGTTGGTTTGGTGCATGGGTTGGTTTGGGTATGGGTTTGTTTAGTGCATGGGTTGGTCTAGATTGGGTGCATGGGTTGGTTTGGGCATGGGTTGGTTTATAATTAGTGCATGGGTTGGTTTGTTGCAAGGGTTTGGTTTGGGTTGGTTAGGTGCATGGGTTGGTTAGGTGCATGGGTTGGTTTGGTGCATGGGTTGGTTTGGGTATGGGTTTGTTTAGTGTATGCGGTTGACTTGTGCAAGGGTTTGGTTTTTGCCCTGAGTCGCTCTGGAGACATGGGTAAATTTGGGCTGTGGCATTCTTCCTTTATGTAGTTATGTAGTCTTCTTACACCAATACAAGATGTAGTTCTAGTCATCCTCAATTTTTATTTATATTCAGGCATGATAGATGACGTAATCGGGTACAACGCGGAAGAGCTGAATGCGCAGATCCCGCAGATGTGTCGGCGCCTGCAGGCCAACTCTCGCGAGATTCTCCGAGAGAAGAAATCAGAGACGACGTCACTCTGGTCCACCCTGGAGGAGCATCGTCATGAGGAACTGGCGCGCATGTGGAAATGTTTCCACGACGAGGAGTACCATGACAGAAGGCACAACTTTGTGTACCACTAGAAGGGATTCTAAACCTCTTCCTTCTTTGTGCCAACAGAGAGGCCATGTATTCTTTTGGACATTTTTGGAAACGATATTGTCTGCAAGAGGCGAAATTCTAATGCAAGTTTGATAAAACATGCAGCAAAAGCCTTCAAAATTCCATTATATCGTAGGTTCTACCAAGATGCTCGTTAAACCTTTTTCACGTAACACCTTCTGTACGGGTCATAATTCGTTTCGTGAGTCACAAAAGAAACATTTGCTTTGTGATCTTGTTTCTTAAGTCACAAAAGAAATATTCTTTATATTCCAACATATTCCAAAAATCAATTTTTTTCAACTTATAGTATTGCCACCACCAGCACACGGGACATGTACAATAAAAAATAGTAGTGCTCATTTTTACCTGAGCGAAGTGAGCAAAGTTGTGTAAAAGGCTTTACATCATACCCGCGCCGCAAAAACGTTCCATAACGGGTTCCAGACCGGGTACTTTACGGTACGGCCCGGGCTTCCATGGCTTTCATAGTATGATTCGAACGTGCCGCTTTAAAAAAATTCAAATACAGAATTTGAAAGTTGGAACTGATGTTGCAATTTCGGGTTCAGGGGCAGTAACTTTTGAGACATCTTGCATTGAAAGGCGCGTTTGCTTGGGTGGGTATGACATAAATAAAATACAACAGTGTGTATTCCGCATCGCTCTCGGTCCCGGCCCTCCCGCAAGTCGGATCGCCCTCCGGCGGCGCGGTCGGGCCTATACCTCGGGCGATTCGGAATACACACTGTTGTATTCTTTTTTCCCAAGGGCACAAAATCGGAGACATGTCAGGACTCGAACCCTGACCGAACTTGGTTTCGAGTAGAGCACTCTGCCGCCACCCGACCCCACACAAAGAAATATTTGCTTTGTGATCCTGTATCTTGCCATTGTGGTATGTTTTTACCCCTCCTCGATGCACTGACCAGCAAAGGAAAACTGAAAGAGGCAAACAAATGAGTAGAACGTAGAATTCCAATTTTAGAAATGATAAAACGTCCTATCCTTCCTTGAACTTGGACATGACACGCAGTGAAGTTTCTACAATGCATCTGTCGTGGTTCTATTCTTCTAAGCTGGTATGTAAACATATTTTCTTATTTTAGATATATCCAAGTCTCAAGTCTTCAAGCAGATGTCCTAGGGGGCAACTGTAACTATCTATATTACGGTACCAAGCTAGTTACAGAAGAAACCCCGAAGAAATATGGTCCAAGATTAACAATGGTAGCCTGGGTGCCATCCGGTTTGTAACGGCAACCCGAAAAAATATTTTTCGGGGTTGCCGTTACAAATCGGGTGGCACCCAGGCTAAAACAATGGCTCAGTGTTGAACAAATATTTGGCATTGCCCCATTCTAGCATTTCCTAATAAATTATGCAAATGGCTTGACTTCATATTTGATAGATGGGTAGGTCTTGATAAGATCTGGAAATGAGTAGATTTATTGCCCCCTAGCGGCTTCTTATAGTACTGCAGCTGAACTTCCTGTTGTGCATTATGGTTGCGACTATCTTTTGGGATTGTGGTTTGCACCTTCTGCGATACCTTGTCAAATGAATAATATGTAATAAATGAAAGATATTCTTATGAAAGCTGACTTTGTTCATATATTTTGATTGTTGTGTATCCTTTGTTTACACTAGTCAGTCTGCAACTGTTTCCCAAAGGGGCCGGCAAACTTCTGGGCAGGTGGCCACATATTATTATGGAGTGCGATTTATATTTATTCAGGCTAGATTTTTAGGCCAGGGATTTATCCATGTTTACGATACGTTGTTACCAGTTGTTAAGTGATCACACAGTTTACATACACTATACTGTTCTTAATCTGCAAAATATAAAACTTCACGGAGAATTGTCACTTGTTGTATTTGCATTTGCTAAATCTGATCACAACCAGCCATAAACAAAGTCATCAATCCTATGTGCTCTGTAACGCTGACAAGAAACGCGCGTAGGGGCTTTGTCTGTTACAAACTTACACACGAATGAGTCAATTTGAATGCATGTATCATGGAGGAAAATGCTTATTTTGATGCTGGGCGCTTCTGATTGAACATATTAATGCTTTTTATGCAGTGTTTTTTTTTTACTTGGTAGAATTTCAGTAACATACTAGTACAACTGTATTGTTGCTGACATGGATTCTTGCACGGTTTTCGTGATATGAGAATATCTTTACTGTAATTATTGTTTCTTGTGTTTCACCCCCTCCCTCCAAATGTTAGTTTACTTTCCTACGTGCAATAATTTGAATATTTTTCCATTACGGCTGCAGTAATTTGTGCTTTTAAAAGACCATGCTTGCGTTTGTGTACTGATTTCGCCATGATGCTTTCAGCCATAAGAGCAGGTACATGATAAGTTTTCGTCTGACTTGCAATTTTGTTTAGAAAAGCGATGCGTGGGTACTGAGCATTTCTTTTACTTTGAAGAAAAAAATACGATTGCGTTTTTTTATGACTTCAATATGTAGCGCTGATTGCCTTGCTCAGCTTTCATCTCTTAGCTTTTAAGTTTCGTAGACTAGTTAGTAAAATAAATATGCATTTCCTGGGTGCTGGTCGTTACGATCAATCAAACTTTTTGCACAACAATTGCAGCAGGTTACGTAAAGCTGTTTGTAGTTGCTGCGTGGGCGTCAGCAAGGACTCGCGTAGGTGTCGTCGAGGCCTCCCGTCAGTCGGCAAACGCCGTGCCAGGTGTAGGGCGGGTTTTTGCTGTACGGAAACCAGACAAGTGCCATGATGCCGGGAGGGAAGAAACAGTCCCAGACTGGTGACGCTGGAGGTAACAGATTTTCTCTTCATTTGTGTCAATCTGTCTTTTTTTCCGTGTGCTGCTTAGGGCACGGTCACATTTCCAAGCCGGGGCCGGCCGGGTTGTTTGCGTGAATGAACAATTTGTATTAAGAGTATACACAAATAGTGTTAATGGTTAATTTTCTATTTTTTGTGTGTTTTGCTGTCTTATATCATAATTTTCGTTCTATACCACTGCCCGGCCGGGCCCCGGGTTAAGAAATGTGACCGCGCCTTAATGCTGAGGTCACATATCCAAACTGGGGCCCGGCCGGGCTGTTTCGTTTAAGGAAAAATAAAAAAAATTACATCAATAACATACGCAAATAGTTCCCATTATTAATTCTTAAAAACTTTTTTATATCATAGTTTTCGTTTTTATACGACTGCCCGGCCGGGCCCCGGGGAAATTTGACCTTGCTTTAGCGACCAAATATTTGGCAGATGACGGCTCCGCAAATTTCATTCACAGTTGTGTTTGTTTCTGTGTTATCTAAGAGTCACTCATGAGGCACGGCGGTCTGTTACTACGCTATTCTTTCCCATTGCTTGGGGCGTTGGAAAAGTATCGGGTTACAAGACGCAATTTTGGCCTGTTTTGGACTACCCGTAAACCAGTTGAAAATAAAAAAAAGGATCGAAGGGTAAATTCCGTCAAAATAAAATGAAATGATCGTCTTGACATATGTGGCGTCGGGTGGCGTAGTGGCAGATTGTTCGACTACGAACCGGGGAGACCCGGGTTCGATCCCGAATTGTACCCGGGACATGTGTCCCGACGTTGTGTCCTTTGAAAAGGCACTTTCCTCACTCCACCCGGGCGTGAATGGGTACCTAACTTTAGTTAAGGAAAGCCGTATTGAGGTCACCTTGTAGCGCCGAATGGCAGCCGAACAGACCCTTGCAACAGTTCCACAAAAAAAAAAAAATTGTGGAGCAAATATGTGTTATTATGTGTTTTATTTGATTGTTGTGATTTGTATTGATTATTATCATATAGCCAGGTGGCGTTGACCAATCAGAAGCCCCCATTCCATATTGATTATGACGCCATAATGTCAAAGTTAGCATGATACAAGTATTGCCAGGTGTGTTTTATTCTCACAATTGTGCTTTGTTGCACAATAAAGCACGGCCCGGAGCAAACCATTTGCAGGGGAGTTGACTCTTTTTGCTTACATTTGTAGCAAGTTTCCTTGTTGAGTAGAAATATTTACCGTCTTGTCATCAAACAATTTATGTAGCAATATATAACAAAATAAAGACCATGTCAATACATGTGAATTTTGAGTGAAAGGAAAGAAAACATATTTTGCGCCACCCCCACTAGTAAGTACATTTCTGTATTGAAACATCCAAATGACCTCAGATGACTTCAAATGGAAGCTTGTTCTATTCTTTTGGCCCAAAATAGCCACAGTGGAATACAGGTTCTGTTCCGAAGTTCCGGTGAACTCATATGTACCCTGATAGAACAGGTAAAATCATCACACTAAAGGGCATACAATTTTAAACAATGGTGTGTCAGAATTTGTCATAGAAGAACTGATTGAGGTCAATTTAGACTCAATATGTGGGTCCTTGGAATCGGGAAACATGCACAGGAACAGTGGCCAGCAGACAGGAAGATAGAGGAGTGACTGTAACGGTTTGTTATATAATTTAAGTTTGTATGTGTTATACAGGAATGTGTCACTCTTTAATGTGTAAGTTTTGATAGGCTATATGATAATAGTGTTAATGACCCGCCCTTTCTCGGTGAATATGGTGTGATAAAGCTTTGTCAGTTGCTATAACCACCTCATAAAGGCACCGCGTTCGCTGCGCTCACTTGGTGGCTTTATTCGGTGGTTATAGCAACTGACAAGGCTTTATCACACCATATTCACCTCGGGGCGGGTCATTAACCCTTAATTATGTGATACCCCTGCATCAATTCAGCCATTAAAGGCTGCGACTGCACGGGAACTGTTTGGACAATTAATACTATTATCATTATCATTATTATTTCAATGTTAGTTGTTTATGCTAAATTACTGATTTTTTAAAAAATCTCGCTCCGAAAGACGATTTTTTCGGGATTCGGAGCGCCAGTCCGAGTCATGTTTTAGGCAAACACCGTTTAAAATTGGCTACGTATTTCACCCCAAATCCCCAATTTTTAATTTTTTTT